CAGAAGTTTGGGATCTTAATTCCATCCTTTAGGGAAATAATATATCACCCCATAAATTGCATCTAGAGGCTTCAGCTAAAGATGGATAAGTTAGGTTGGAGAAATTTGTATTTTGCATGTATTCTCATGCATGTAATGGTTCTTTATGATTTAATAAATATATAACACCAACCTGATTGCGGGATTAAAAATAAAAAAATTATATACTATAATTGTTTTGATTTTTTATATACCATATAGATAATTTAATATAAATATAAACTAATATTAAACTTATTTAATATAAGATATATAATTTTCTTTTATACATTATATTTTTATTAATACTCAATAAAGAAAGGAATATGGTTTAAATAAACAACAGATACAATAGATATCTTTAAGCTTACTTATTTAAAAAGATTTTCAAGAAAAACATTTTTTTATTTTTAATTTCAAGTTGTTTATTTTTAAATATGTGAAATTTTAACAAGAGTATAAAGATAAACTGATTTTCTAACATGCATTATATCATTAAAAGAATAATATGCTGTTAAGAAGTATGCAGGCATTTTCACTCGGAAAAAGAAACTTTTTGAAAACATCTATTTTTGAAATACTTAAAGAGTCAGTGAATAAATTTTTTCGCAAATATGTATTGTCACAATTCGTGGCGAAAATTTTTTGATTATATATTATGGGTACATGTTAACTAATTAATTCGTCAAGTTATCGTCAAGTTGTTTTTTTTTTATGTGAAAATGAAAAACTAAGCTAATCCAATGCATATAAGCAGTTCACACGTTGTCTAGCAAGTTCAAGGATGTAGTATATACTATGTGTAACTTGTCTTAATTATTAATGGACACATCGCTTATATTCATGCCATCCATGTTCTTCTAAAATGTGTACTTTCAACTCTTTCTTACTCAAGTAAAACCTTTTACACTTGTTCCATTCGCATGCGTAATACTTTTGATATGGGGATGCGTTCTTTACAGATTTTCTATAGAATGTTGGCTCATTGGATTTCGCGTGACGTGGTGTTCTATTGATCATAAGGTACACGGGGTCATTAGAGAATGATGATCTTGTTGGAAACGATATAAATGACTCGGCGGGGAGTTTGATTGATGCATTCAGATCATCGAGCGCTATTGCATCGTTTACTTTGTTTTCATCAATAGTTTTCATTTCGTCCGTAACCGGACATTTGGACTTTGTCATCGAAATAGGATTTTGAACCTTGGAATCGATTTCCATGTAATCCTCAGGTCCCACATCAACGGAGTTATCAGAACTAATGCTTGCGTCCATCTCGTTAACCTCGGTGCTTGTTTTGTGTTCAGAATTTTGCCATTCTTTGTTGGTTTCGCGGTTGTCGCCTACATTAAATTTTGGTATTGAAGGAGTTGAAAGCCTCGACGTGAAATCATTCAGAGGAAAAATCCTAAGCATAAACTTAGAAGTGTCCTGAGCAATCTGATTTACATCTTTTGTAATTTCCAATTCTTTTTGGCAAAGTACAAGTTGTAAATTCATTTTTCTAATCTTATCCTTTAGACCTTCAACATCATCTTTGCCTTCATTCGAATGTGTCACCATATATTCATCAATATTCATCCTCAAGTTACCGTAATTCAAGCTAGCTCTCTCAATCAGGCCGTAAATTTTGTCAATAGATTTTTGCAGAGTGATCAAGGGTTTATCATCATTATGTGAGAATAAAATATTTTGTTTTGCTGTTCGGAAGGAATTTTGAGTCGATTCTTCGACCCTTCCTCCAATGCTTTGATCTTTGATGACGCGATTACCAAAGTCTTCTTGTTTCTCAGACAATGACCTTTTGATCATTAGAAGATTCTTGAGTTGATTCTTGATAATTTCTTCTTGATGAGATTCGATCTCATGGTGATTCCTCCTCAAATTTGCGTTTTCGTTTTGAAGTTTTTCAATTTCTTTTAGATACGGCTCCAACAATCTTCTTTCTGATGGCCTTAACTAGAAAATCGGAAAGATGTGATGCGAGCAGGAAACCGGGAATGAAATTATCAAATGGTTTCACGTAAGAATGGAATCAAATACCGAGTTTTGTGCATAAAGTGACATTTTTGAATCGATCTTTTAACGATATTGTATGACCGCTGAATGGGATCGAAATAAAAATTAGTATCTAAAAATCCCTCTTAGACGTGTTTAATTTGAACCTTGATTATATTGTGATTATCGTCTCAAGTGGAGAATGAAATCAATCTGAGTTTATACCTTCAAATTTTTTGATGTCATTATTGTTCAAGAGTATTAAAAAATTTAGCTGACTATTGAGAACTTTTCGTGAAAACCTGTAGTCAACCTTGTTCATATAATGATGACAGACTATCGTATCATAAAATTAGAATTCTTCCGTACTCCCGATCTATCAGGATTTATTTATTTTCTTGGGATAACGTTTTACTGTGATGATACTAAACCAAGTGAATAATCAACTTCCTAGGCACGTTCTTAAGGTGTCATATTTTAATTCATCGACCGGCATATCAAAAAAATACCTTTGTTATGATCAAAATTCGCAATAAGAAATTATAATCAATAAAGTTTTATATAATTTGTGTTTCAGTCGAATAATGTACATTTTAAGGATCACAGATAAGATAGTTAATATTAATTAGTGATGTTGAATTGTCCAAGATTTTACACATGCGTCTTGACCCACTGACACTACTGTGTTATTGTCCCGAAAGCTCACGCCATTGACATTAATTTGGTGAGCACCTTCAGAAAGTAAATGAGAAAAAGAAATCGGCGTCATTGAAATAAAATTTAAAAAGAAAGAAAAGTAGATGTGATGATTATTCACAAATGTTACCTTTGATAGCAATACTTTTCATCGGCTTTTCGACACTCCAAATGTAAATGTTGGTGTCCAACGAACCGCTTACTGCATGAAGACTATCTGGCGACCAAGCGATAGAATTAATTCTTGCATTGTGAAGGTTCCAATAAAAATCTTTGTTCTTTATACAAGACAATTTAAATTAGATTTATAGTGAAATTTGTACGACAAATAAAATTGAATTAATGAATTGGTATGTAAACCTTTTTGCTTTTAGCATCGTATGCAAGTATTTTTCCTTGAGAGTCCCCTACAGCGAGCAAGGATCCGTCAGGGGAATAAGTAATAGCCGTGATTGCTCCTTTATTGCCTGTTAACTGTTCATTTTCCTCCTCAAGTTCATCTCCTTTTACTTTATAAATTCGAACCTTTGTATCCTATAGATGGATCAATAAATAATGAAGAACGTCAATTTCACATTCATATAAAACAAAACTTAGAATTTTTTGCAATTGACTAACTTCGCATCCAACTACAATTTCTGTGCCGGCAGGATTGAGAGCAATGGCACCAGGAGGAGAAGGCACTGAAACACTATAAACGCTTCTCTCATCCTTGATAATCTGTACGTCTTTCAATGTGGCAAGGAAAATTTTTCCGTCTTTTGACGCCGCCAAACTTTTAGGCAGAGAACCAGTTGGAACTATGGATGATCTGAAATATAAAAATTTAGTACACTAACCACTAAAGGTAGTTCACATCATTCTCGACTTTACCTAAATGACTTTGACTCAACATCAACTATTCTCAATGTATCATCCATTCCAATGGAAATCATCTTATCTTCCTGGGAAACCAGTTGAGTAACAGAATTTGTGTGACCCGTGCCGCTGATTGGAGTTCCGCTACCTTCTTCACCGGTCCACACATGTGTATCACAATTAAAGACAAATTGTACTTAAAATGAAAAATGAATATTCAATATTCGAAGGATATAAATTCGTCCATCATAGCTTCCTGTAAAAAATGTATCGTTTTTGTCCTTTGAAAGAGTTGTTATGGCCTTTTGATGTCCCTGTTACCCAGTCCAACGTGCCAGTTAATAGACATGCGCATAGGCATATATATTTGCAAACAGCAGCTATGTTTACCTTAACTACTCTCACAGGAGAAGGTGAATTCTGCGACAAATAATTTATGTCTCCAGATAAAGACAGGCTTATTAGGTGTTCTCCTTGCCATAAATTGCCAATTTGTAGATCGTCAACGGATTCAGAAAATTCAAAAGTTCTATTGGCAATTTCATAAGTCGAGAAATAGGTGCTGAGTAAAAAAAACTATTTCTGGAACTTACTGGACAACTTTCTGAGTTTCAATATCCCAGATTTTGGCAGTCTTGTCACCAGAAGATGTCAATAATTGCTTGCTATCGGGTGACCATGAAACCGCATACACACCGCCACTGTGTGCGTTCTCACCAGCGGCTTCCGAAAGATCTGTCAATTTACTGCCTGTCTTTCCTTCGTACAAAAATATCTTGGTTAAAATTAAAAGAAGAATTTGGATGCATCATTGCATAAGCTTCAATGCTATATTAATGTATGTCATAAGGGAATAAGGGAGTCGCGTTTACTTTTTTGTCTGAACCAGCTGTCACCAACTTCTCTCCATCCGGAGAAAATTTTACACTTTGAACAAATCCAGTATGATCCTTGATGGTAAGGTTATACTTGTATGGTGCCCCGTGATAAAACACGACAGTAAAGTCATCAGATCCAGTAGCAGCGCGGAATGGGCGTTGCTGACGAATGCTAACGCTATTTATCACTTTAAAATGACTACTTATTTCCCCGGCGGATGATCCAGTATCAAACATAAACGCGTGTCCGTGACTACGTTTTTTTTTAAAAAAGACAAACATCGATCAGTCGTCAAAAAGATTTTCAATAATAGTGTTTCATTTTAGAATCTATTTTAGAACTTGCAAACTCTACAATAACTACCGTTCTTTACCATCGCCAACTGCAATAATTCTTTTGCTTTCGGAATCCCAAGCAATATCATTAATCCTTCCAGCAATGACTTTGACTTCGTTTTTTAAAATTTGTTCTGCTTGTATTGTATCCCAAATACGAACGTTGCCGTGTACGTCTAATGATGTACGGTTAGGATCAATTAAACATGAAAATAAAAAAGTGTCGATTGAATTTGTTCCTTACCGCCAGAAGCTATGTAATATCCACTTGGTGAATATCGCGCCACAGTTGTTGGTGCCGAATGCTGAGTATACTCGGTTGCAATTTCCGGGTTCTTTTAGATACAATGGACTAAACGGTGTGAATTTTTTACTCGAAATTCGATAATTCATTCATAAAATCAGTATTGAAACCAGAATGAAATTATGAACTGACAGCTATGTTGCGGATAATAACACTCTTGCCGTTCGTGTAAAGGAAATTTTGACCTTTCGGGTCCGAGCCCAACTGGACAGCCTGTCCACGGGTAGTGGCCGGCGCACATGCAAAGATACTTTCTGAAGATTACGAATTACATTAGCAAAGATTTGAATGCGACAATTTATCACATTTAACCTACTTCTTGTATAAGACATGATTAGTCGTATGTGAAATCGTTTATTTTCGGACCATTCTTAAATACTGAAGATTCACGTGTAACTGTACTGCATTTTTTTTTTTGCTATAATCGATAGGATAAAAACTTCAAGGATCAATTACACAATTTTATTGGAATTCGGTAAGTAACCTCTATCGAATCTTGAGGTTTAACTATTCATTCTTCTATAAATTCTCGAGGCATTTCGAATTGAAATTAATTTATTTTAATTGTCGCCGATTCATGGTCGTTATTTTCTACAAGAAATTTATATAACCGGTGCGTCTTACCACATTGGTAAGTACGCAAAGGTTAAGTTCTCGATAATCATGTTCAATTTTGATTGATGCATTTTTTTTTTTTTATTAAAAATATTTGTTGGTTACACAAATTAGAGAGATTATTTTTTTTTATATAAATATGATATTAAAGTTCTTAAAAAAATACTTGTCCAAATTACAATATATTTTTGATTATATATTTCAGGTAGAATTAAAACTCAATCATGTAAAACTTTATACGTATGATTTTTTTTACTTGTCAAGTTATTATCTTTGACTATTGACTATATCTTTTTTTGTACTTAATAAGTTTTAACATATTAAATAATAACTATAGACAAAAAAATTTCAATATTTAATAGAAAGTTAAATTCAAATCTTAGTCAAAATACTATTATTAAATTTTTTTCTTAATTAAATACTCTAAAGTTAAAAATTGGAGTTTTTAGAAGAAGCTTACTTTTCTTAAAAAAATTTCTTTCAATTAAATTTTAAAAAAATATATTTAATTAAAATAGTATTATTACTTTATCTTAAAATTGATATAATATAGTAATTTGATAAAAAAAAAATATAAATCTAAAAAAAAATTTTTTAAGAAAAAGAAAAAAATTATTTATTAATAGGAAAAAAAAGTTATAATTTGTTATAAAAGTTTTTAAATTAATTTATAAAAAATTAAAATCACATAATTATATCATATAACAAAAATCTTCAAAGTTCTTTATAGTAAAAATCTTTGAAGATTTTTCCAAAAATTAAAATCGAACAGATTCACATAGATTCATATAAGATTTGAGACATTATTAAAAATAATAGTAGATTATAATCCATCTAATAAATTTAATATAAATTTAAAAATCAAAAATCAAATTAAATTAAATTATTAGAATCCTTATCTCTATTTTCATTAGAAAGCTTTAAAATAAAAATTATATATATATAGAATATTGCAAAAAAATTAATAAAAAATTTTTTTATAATTGAAATTTTTATAATTATTAAATAAGTATTTATTTAAAAAATTTTTTTAATTTATATTTTAAAAGA